CCATTTTGAAGATCCGGCTTTCCGCGTGACGGTATTTTAGTACCTACGGTAATACGGTAGGTACTAGGAAGGTAGTACGCCACAGTGACCGATTGGAATTTGGCATTCAGGAATTGAAGTCTACGTGTGATCTGCAGACGAAGGTTTTGAAAAATCCACACCGGTGACCGTTCTATACTAGGTATTTAATTTACCAGTGGCGCTTCACCAAAATAGGTAAGATTTGGTCCTACTAGTATACTACCTATCATCTGGCGCATATGTGATGTCAAACTCAAGAAGCCAGCGTGCTGCCATTCTTCTCCTCGAGTCCCAAATTCGTCGCAAAGCGCTAGAATGTCGTCTGGCCATGGTGGTGGTGCTAAAACGTCACGAGGGACACCTCTCAAGCTGATCAATTGTCAAATTGTAAACATCCCTGCTAAAAGTGAAGCGCATGTTGGGACCAGATGGGGCACTATCTACATTGAAGCTGGCCTCGTTCAAAGAGTTGAATATGAGCCGACCACGATGTCGCCAGTTGCCATGCAACGCATCGACCCAGAGTGTATGGATGCTGCAAGCTGGACAGAGGTGGACGTTGGGGGTGCGTATGTGCTCCCTGGCTTCTGTGATGCACATGTGCATGTGACGGCAGTGACGGCCGATCTGAAGGCCATTGCTTCTCTACCGCCCTCTTTGGTAACCGCGCGCTCTTCCATAATCCTTCGAGACATGCTCTTCCGAGGCTTTACAACGGTCAGGGATGCGGGCGGTTGCGACTGGGTAAGCACCTGGCTGGTGGACCTAGTGGGCGTTGATGCAATCGCCTTGCAGGCCATATTGTGGTGGTATGCTGCTCTGGAAAGTACCTTTTAGTTGTGGTCGAATTGGCCTTGACCACCATTTGTAGATGGGTTTTCTTCAGAAGCCCGCATTTGGGCCATCTGTTACACCACTATCGGAGAGTGTTTGAGCATCGCATTCGGTGTCTGAGTAGCTGTAAGAAGAGGCATATTCAATACGATCGCTGAGTGTTTAGATCGGGCCAGCTATGTGTGCAGCCGCTTATCGGAAGGATCCGCAAGCCGTGCTCACCCCGTTGTACAGGGCCTGGCTAAAGCAGTTGATGAGGGCACACTCATTGGGCCCCGTATCCTCTTCAGCGGACACGCTCTGTCTCAGACTGGGGGTCATGGCGACATGCGCGAGCGCGGGGACGAGGCCCTCGTGTCGTGCGGCTGCTGCCACGGCACCAACGTGACCCTGGGCCGCGTGTGCGACGGCGTGCCCGAGGTGCGCAAAGCGGCCCGGGATGAGCTGCGCAAGGGGGCCTCGCAGATCAAGATCATGGCCAGCGGGGGGGTGGCCTCGCCGACCGACCGGCTGAGCAACCTGCAGGTGAGCCTCACTGCCCAGCCCACGTGCCAACACCTGCATGACCAGACCTGCACCAACCGCTCTCATGACACTGGACTGGCCATCTATTTGTCATCCTGTTGGTTTGAGCGGAGTCAGCTGATTGCCCTGTCTGACGGGCTGTTGCCGGTGGTGGGCAGTAGGACACCGCGGCACGCCAAAGCTTTTGACACCACTGCTTTCAGGAGCTATGCTTTCCATCATCGTATCTCGATTGGAGGTCAGGCCTTGCATTTTCTGAGGCTGTGTTGCAGTAAAACGACCTTGGCCCAGGTCGGGTCAAGGCCTTCGGAGGGTGGCGTCTATCTGTTGGAACCTTGAAGCAAGCTCCCGCTGGTGTCCGCTTCTCTCTCGACACAGCGATTTCTACATGTTTGACTCTTGCAGTTCCTCTTCCTACCGGTTTGCTTGTTCTATCTAAGGACAAGGAGCAGCTTCTCAGAAGGGCACCGAGCCTGAGGATATGACCATGTTGTTCTGACTGCAGTTTTCGATTGAAGAGACGAAAGCCCTCGTTGAGGAGGCTTCCAACGCGGGGACCTACGTGTGCGCCCATGCCTACACCGCCCAAGCCATTAGACGAGCACTTGAGTGCGGTGTCCGGAGCATCGAGCATGGGAATGTGAGCAGTTCACTTAACGTTCCTCCCTCCAGAATGAGGGTACATCTTTGGGCTTGCTTATGCCGCTGCTCTTGCCTCAAAGAGTGCCTCAAATCGCGTAGAGCTCCGTGGTGGTCGTTCCAACAGGAATTCTGTAGCATATATGCTGTCACCTTGCGCTTCACGCTTATGAGGATCTACTCTTGCGCCAAGGGCTTGTCCTCTTCCGAAAGATACCACAGCAGACGCAAGCAGCTCAGTTTGTCAAGCTGGAGCCGTCTTTTGAGATCCAGCGGACGTCAAAAACTAGTCCCTCTCACACCCTTCCCGATTGTGAATGAGCATGGAAGCGAGTGAGCTTATTGAGGGGACAATCCCGCCCGGCATTTATACAAGCAGATCTGCAAGCTGACCGTCGAGGAGGCATGTCTGGACTCAGCCCTTGACGTTCCCCTGCAGTTGATCGATGCGGAGACTCTGGACCTGCTGATCGCCAAGGACGCCTTCCTGGTACCCACTCTAGTTACGTATGACAGGATACGAGCAGAGGGCGTCGAGGCAGGCATGCCGGCGGCACTCGTAGACAAGGTGAGCACTTGCTGCTGGCCTCGGAATGGCAGAAACGGCATCTTTTCTTTCTTAATGACTGACGTTGACGTGTGACAAGCTGGGCCCTCACATCAAGAGGTGACTTGTCTACGAGCAGCTTCAACATAGACCTATTCCAACTCTAGATTTCGGGGGATCAGGCCAAGGCAGTGGAAGGCGGGTCTGATGACTGATACTGTGGGCTACGACGACTTGCTCCACCTTCTTAATGCGGTTGCTGCATCCTGCCGAGCAATCTCTTTGGAAGCCTGTCCCAAGTCGGATGCTTAGGGAGGCCGAGAAAGCAGTTTGCTTAGAGGCCGCGCCCACTCCGAGCGCGGCAAAGATGACCGACAAGGGCTGCCTGGACTGCATCAGCGGCTTCGACGAATCCCAAAGTCTCCAGGGCCCCCGGCACTCTCCACGCCATGCGTGTCCCAGCTGACGGTGTTACGCTGCGCCTCATGTCCAGGTGGCCGACATCCTGGAGCGGGGCGTGGAAGCTCTCGCACTGGCGGACGGCAAGGGCGCCCAGATCTGCTTCGGCAGCGACCTGCTCGGGACCATGCACAAGCACCAGTCGGCGGAGTTCGCCATCCGCAGCCGAGTGCAGACGCCCGAGGCGATTCTCCGAAGCGCCACCGCCACCTTCGCGGAGCTGACGGGCCTGCAGGGGAAGGTGGGCTGCATCGCGGAAGGAGCCTATGCTGATCTCGTTGTCGTGGCCAAAGAGAAAAGTCCGCTAGACGACATTACGGTCTTGTGCAACCCGGAAAGCATTCTCATGGTTGTTAAAGACGGCCGCATAGAGCTAGATCGACGGCGAAAACAGTGATATGGTTGAACGGATTGGTTGATTTAGAAGCAGAAAATATCGATTGTTGGCGCCCGCAATATCCCGTTTCTTCGGCAGATACCGACGATGCATGCCTTTTCGAAGATGAAATCAGTGACCGCTTGCCACGAAATATATCAAGCAAGCTTTGACTCCCGCATCACGCATGCCGTGCTTGCCAGCGGCCCTGATCCGAAACCCTTTTGTACAAACGCGTTCCTTCGTTCTCTCAGCGTAAGTTGCGCAAAGTAGGTCAATTCGCATGATGTGAGGAGCTTGGTACTAAGATCGGACGCCACGACCGGGCGGGCACGGTAACATGCCTTTTTTAACGCCTAATCATGTACAAGCTGCTCCACACTGTAGCCGGAGGAAGTGCATAATTCCAAACTTGAACCGAATGGGTCTACAGTTTCGATCTTTCAAGCTGGCTAGCCTCGAATCGTATGCACATGTCCGCGCATGTGCAGCTCAGTGCACCTCGCTGCTGACTCTAGGTGTGAAAAGATGGTTCATGCAATTGAATTGGATGTGCAGATCAGATCTGCCTTTGAGCGTACTAGAGCTGCATGCTGGCACATGATCCATGATGCATGATTTCAACTGTAGCATCACAATTTGATTCAAAGCACTTGCATTGTTTCAATATTGCGCCCGGGGCAATTGAAACATAGCATGGCTCGGCGCGGGAGTCCACCGTCATGCAATCATTATAATTAAACAGATCACTTCATGTACACTACTCTCCGACGACGTACTAAGATTGCAAAAGCGCTGTAGGTCGGCGGCCGGATAACTTGAAACATATATATGATGGCCGCGAGCTGCGGCCGGGCCCACATTTGCACAGAATCCGCCGTTTGGCCTGGCGGTTCAAAGGTGATCTCTTATGCATGCAGTATCAAGTTCGGCCGTACGTGCATCCTAGCTCTTGAATGAAAGCTAATAGATATAGATCCCGCGCGCTAGTGTGCATAGATTTTGCCACTGAGGCATACGCAGGTTGAATTGTCAATCGATGTTGGTGACTGAGGCTAACTTCAGCCATGGCGGGACAGCTGACTTAGCACTCGACATATCTTTATAACAAGTCGGTGGACTTGAGCATATCGCCTCGACGAAAATGTTAACATGTGAATATTGGCGACCAACCGGAGAATCCTGGTTGCAAGTAGCTTTTTGGCGCCTCTAATGCAGCTCTGTATGCCCACTCTGATTGAACTGACAGTCGGCTCACGTACAGCCCAACATGCATTACGATGCAAGAGGCTGGAACCACTGGACAAAAATACAGCGACAGTGAATACTCCAAGGAAGGAAAGACCAGGCTGCACCAGAAACATGGTCTGAAACTACATACAGTAGAACACCAAAACAATCAGGCACTTTCGCTGAACACATTCTGAGGCTTACACATACGGCGAGGATCCAAAGCTTTGCACTTGTTGTCCCACGTCCATCTTGCTGCACCTTGTACCAGCTTCGAAGCAGCTCAAACAGCCAACAGTCCGGTTCATATGTACAGGCACAATACTTGGGTCGTTCCCTTTCTTAAGCCCCTCATTCTCTGTCGTTCGCGGCAACAACCCGAGTCGCAAAGCGGCGCCCCCCCCGACCCGTCCGAGCTGCAGGCCCCGCAAGGCGTGTTGCTCGATCAGACGTTGAACGACGACACCTGCGCGGGCGTGGCCACCACCAGCGGCGCTTCCGGCGACGCGGCCCCGAGGAAGCTGTCGTGCATGAACTTGCTGTCGACGATGGACTCCGTCTTGGGCACGATCTTGTAGCAGTAGCACGTCTTGACGCCCGTCTGGTGCGCGTAGCACTCGTGGCCCGACTGCTTCACCCGCCGGAAGTTCCACACCACCGAGTACTGCCCCACCGTGGCCACCAGGTTGCGCTCCTGCGCGTCCGCCTCCGTCACCCACGAGAACTGCCCGTTGCGGAACTTGTGCCCCGGCCCCGCCGCGTGCGCGTCCACCGGGTTCAGCTTCAGCAGCCGCGGCGCCGCAATCTGGGACCCCGCGCGGCCCTGGAAGGCGTTCTTCTCGCGGCCGTCCTTCTTGTCGCGGTAGATGGTGCTGATCAGCATCAGGTACGTGTCCGTCGTCGCCAGGATCCACCGCCCGTCGTACGTCACATCGATGCTGCAACAGATAAGATGCGGCGAAAATATTACAACAATGACAAGCTCGAGGTTGGCCGACTTGTCCCGTTGCTTAAGGAAAAGGATGATTGTCTTTCGAAGAAAATTGGACATCCGCGAACGAGGCTTTAGCTTGCCAAATAAGCCCGATACAAGAAGCTGACCCCAGCTCAACCTGGGACCCAGGCAGCAACTGACGATGTGCAACCTCTTCGGACCCAAGTTCTTAAGCACGTTAACTCAATTTCCTCGGAACAGAAGGCTCGCGAAGTATCCGCCACACGACACTTCGACTCGTGAACAACTCCGCTGAAGGTCCCAAGGCATTCTCCAATAGCAAAGGTAAAATGTCTTGACTCTGCCCTTGCTTAGAACGAAGTCTGATTTTGCAAGAAAGGCAAGAGACAGATTGGCTCCGTTTGCTTCTATGTGGAAGCAAACGGACAGAAGGCACGAGTCACTGCGCAGCCCGTTTCGTCTTTGTGGCGGGGCGTGCTGCGGGCCCGCTCACCTGGTGACGGGCGAGCCGAGGCCTGGGAAGGCCGTCTTGGCCTGCCGCATGCTGGTGGTGCCGTAGAGGCGCACCTTGCCGTCCACGCTGCCCACCGCCACAAAGCCGTCCCCCGTGGTGGCCATGCAGTTGAAGTTGGTGCCGCGGCTGAACTGGTGGCCCTCCGACCAGTTCAAGGTCGGGGACGCAATTTCCTGCAACCACGAGCAGTGATGATGATTAAGGAAGTTGGGTACATGAGACCTTGCACAAACCCCTGTGCGGTTCAGTAGCCTGTTTGACTCAATGGGACGATTGGCTTTAAAGCCCAAATCTGCAGGAGCAGCATCTCTTTCTTGAAGATTGTAACAGTATGGAAGCAAGATGATTCGCGAAATCACAAGTCAGCCCCACTGCGAGGATCTTCTCGACAAAGGGTGTGAACAGGGCTCTTTTGATGAGTCCGCCAACTTCGAGCAAGTTTTATACGTTCTTCGGAGAGCAAAACCACTCCCTGCAGCCTAGTCTTGGCTTTCCAGTTTGTTTAGATTTTTGGCCAGATTCGAGAGAACAGAAGGTCTCTGTTGAAACAGAATTGCTCTGTGTAAATCAAATGCTGGAGAATAATGGGAAAGAGACTTTGCTTGGATACGGGGAAACCCCCTGGAGGTGTTCCAAAAGGTGGGCGGCGCACCTGCACGATGCCGTTCCTGTCGCGCATGTCCCAGCGCACGAGGCGGTTGTCGTCCAGCCCCATGAACGTGGCCCTGCTGCTGTCCAGCTGCGCGGCCTTGGTGTCGTTGGTGATGTCGCGCATGCCGATGTCCACCCCGTCCTTGGCAAACTTCCACTCCGCCACCACCTTGCCCGACTCAATGTCCAGCTGGTGCACGCTCGACGCCTGCACGACATCCACGGACAGTGTAAGAGAGGTCAGCGCAACAGGCCACCCGCAAGACTGCAGGGCGGAAGAGATTCAAATGGGCGTAGCTGCAAGATCCTCGCATGAGTTTGCTATGGGCTCTTCACAAAAACTGATGCACACAAACAGCAGAGTGCCAGCGTTAAGGTGGCGCTGACAGCTGCAGTACAAAAAGGATGTACCCTTCACATGGATGACCTATCTTCAGGACGCATGATGCCCCAAATAAGCGAAAGCTCGTACCAGATCACAAGCCAATTTTTACCTGTATACAGCCCACACTCTCATAAGTAATACAACATCATTCCAACACGTCAAGCCGTTGCCCCACTACTTACCAGGGCACCCAAGCTATTGCACTCACATCAATTCTTTTGAGGGTGGTGTCCATTCATGGTAAAACGCCAACAAAGCCCTTGGAGGGCGCATTGGTCAATCAAGGCAACTATGCTGTGAGAACGATCAAATTTGTACAAAGTTGTGTACTCAATCAACCCTCAATCCACCCACCTGTAGAGCCCCCTGCTGCGGACTCAGCAACATCATGTTCGTCTCTCCCCTCATCAGCATCGCTTTCCTGGGGGTCATGTATCCTGGGGTCGTCGGGTACTTGATGGTGATGTCATCAGAATCAATGCCCTCCCTCATGTTCCGGAACACGTCCAAGCCCCCCGAGTGCAGCACGTAACTCTTGCCCATGGCCCCCATGGTCAACATCTGAGCGGTCCGCCCCGGGGTGGAGTTGGTCCGGGTTTCTCGGAGGCGCCCTTGAGGGGGCGGCGTGCTGGGCTCTTCCTCTGCATAGTCACATATGTATCGTCAAGAGCAGAAGGAGCGAAGCAGATGGCCAGCTCACACATGGCCCGACCGAACTTACTTTTCACACTTTTTGAGCAGGATTACGGACATGACGTCCAGGAGAAGGCAAGAAAGACAAGGGCACCCGCAATTGTACACGCCCTCCCATTGGGAGAAAGCTTGAAGGTGGCTCCGTCAGCCAAAGAAAACCCGGACCAAGGATAGAAGATGGGACACAAGCTCAAGTGTGAGCAGGGTTCAGACAATAATCCACCTTTTGAGGTTCCGCGAAGTATGCACTTGATCCAATTTCAACGAGAAGTTCAGGAAAGTTTAAGAATTACCCCTGGTGCAAGGCTGGTAAGGTGGTAAACTTACCTGCGTCAAACATCATCTCGTCCGCATCCTGCCCCTTCCCAAAGGCCAGTGCATAGTCCTGACCAAAAACTTTGGCCTGGTTCTCTGTTGTTAGCTCCATGCCGTAGTTGTTCTCAAACAGCGCTGCCTCGTACTCAGCCACAAACTCTTTGTAGTCTGCTTCTTCCTTGAAGCGCAAAGCCCAGACACCATTGGCAACGAAGTCCACCCTCTTCTGCTGCGGATTGGACTGCAGGTTGAGCTCATTTGACACCGCGGCCAGCACTTCCCTCTTTCCCACGGCCAAGTACCACACCCTGTCCCCGCTGCCTGCCTCCTCCTCCTCTCTCTCATCCTCCTCCTCCTCATCGGACCCCTCCCCACCTTCGAGCAAGAACCGAGGGGTGACTGAGGGATTGACAAGCGCCCACTTCCCCGTCTGCACCCCACCAGTATGTTGGTACAACTTTGCCGTTCCTACCGGCGCCTGCTTCTCAGGCGTCACAGTGACATCCCTCTCCTCGTCATAGTCCTCCCCCTCAGGAAGGTTGTTGTCCTGGCTCTGATTTTGTCCCATGATGCTGAATGCGTCTGCGCAACTCGCAAGTTGGACAACACGCTGGCCCCTTTGTGCCTGCACGACAAATGGTCCCTGCCCCTGAAACAAAACCTGCGTGAAGCACGCTGGTGTCTACCTCCTCTCGCCTCGTCGCCGTCACCCAGCCGCTCCAATCACACACCCGGGCCTTTCACAATGCCATTGCAGCCACCGCCCCTTTCAGTACCGTTGACACCCGCGTTAACATCATCCACAATCAGAAGAAGTTGCAAGCTAGAGTTGGTTGATCTCAATGCTCATGCAGTGCAAAAGGCACCCGCAGTGCGCACAAGCGAGTCCAGGTCATTCTTCAAATGTAAGCCGTCGATGATGATTTCGGCGCGACGTTGGACCGTCACGATGATCTGCATCCAGTTGGAGCATACAAATCCCCACGCAACAGCTGGGGCTCACCGTCGCGAGCCCAGTCCGCGGACTTGCAATGCACAGCTGGCTCCGTGGTAGACGATGCCAACATGAATGTCAGAGATAATGGCGGAACATGATCACTGTGACATTTTCAGAATACCTACATCTGCACCATTCAAATGATTGAGAGCCTTTGGTAACATTGTGTGCGCGGCGAGCGCATGCACTGGGAGGGTACTGGGACCTGACAAACAGTTCTGCTTGCGAGCCCGGCGTGCCTCAAAAGTGCGAAATCTCATACTCAAACCAGTCAAAGTACGCGTGCTTCTAGGCTCCATTTCGAAGCACCACAAATGTTATACGGGTCACTCAGATTTAATTTGGTTTCATTAGTAGCAGGCTACGACATACGTACATAAGAAATCTACAACCAATGCATCTTTCCATAAAGACTTCAGCACGAGGGTCGAGCTGGACCTGCACCTGATACGACAGCGAGCTGGTCGGGAACATTGCATTCAAGTATTCAATGACACAAACCGGACATCCTCGTGGGTTTGCCCTAGTCAACAACTCCCGTCCGTGCCATTACTTGCCTGGCAGAATTTTGGTCGAAGCTGCATTCCATTGCTGCACAAAGGTCGAATCCGGCAAGGGATGCAACCACAGTCTCTGCATATCGTGCATTTCAGACATCCGAGGGTTGGCGGCGAGTTGCAAGAAACTGGGTCCTTACCTCCGTATGCTCATTGGCGCTTGTGTGACGCAGGGGACGTACCACCGGAACATCATGAAGGACCGTAATCCAAACCAATATCCTGCGCAAATAGGAGCAAATTGTCAGACATGAAGCACCTCGACCCAAAAGGTCGTGCAAAAACGGCGGCTGTTCCTGCTGCCTGCAAAGCAGCCGTCCACATTGCCACTCTCGTTTCATCAAGCCTAATCACCTCTGAAAGTGGAAACGAGATGCACATCACAGTCCACAGCGCTCCCGCAATGCCGGATGCTGCACTCACCTGCTACGAGTCCCCACTTCCTTCGCCTGCCTGCGAACAGCTCTCCACCTCGACGATGAGTTTTCGGAAGCTCTCAAAGATGGCCCGGTTGTCCAGGAAGCATGCGGCTCCGCCCCCCCGCCGCCCTTGGCTCATCTGCCGGTTCATGTCGCTCAAGCAGACAGGGGGAGCAACGCGGAACAGCCCGGCGGACAGCCCCGAGGGCGACGCCGAGTGCTGCACATCGGGGCGGGTATCGAAGCAGACAGTCAGGCCAGGACAAGTGGCGCTTTTGACACAGACACTCAGCAAGTGTCTTGCGGCAGTGTTTGCATACAACGTTTGAGCTTTAAGCAGGACTCGACCGGGCAAGAACCTCCACAATCTGTCTGCCAAAAGTCAAGCAGTCGCCACATGATACACTTCGGCTTGGTACACTTTGGCGCCAACGTCGCAACTGATGCGGCTGAAGCAATCAGCGGAACGGGTCGAACGGAACTGGGTTTGCTACAGCGGACTCGGTCGTGACTACCGGTCACGTCACCCATGAAGGCAGTCAGGATTTGGTACATATGTTGTTCGCCGACGGATCTCAGCGTCGGTGTAGCAACACAAACAACTCGTCTGTTATGACCACTGAATTCGTCGGATCCGAACGCCCAGCGCTCGAAACCGGCCACCGACACTCATGTGACCTTTTTGCTAAAGCAGATTGTCTGTTCGTTTGCCGCTCATACCGCCCAACACTAATCGATGTAGATGCCCATCAGACGATTTGAAGGACAGCGACGAAGGGTGAGGAAACGACAGCGTCAAATCCATACATGTTCATCATCGGCAAGGGAATTGGAGCATCAAAGTATCTGGTTCTTTTCAGTGGATATCCACGTGATATCAAAGTCTTCTAGCAAGCATCCTGGAAGCCAGCTCTGGCACGTATCAAGTCAGAAACACCGAGTGGAGTAAGGAATACTCCCCAAGCGTTCCTGGATATGCTCGGGCGTGTGCCGCGAAACCACGCCAGGCGCCCGAGCCATCTTCTGGGTGCGAGAGCAGTTCGCCCGCAGTGGGCAGGTAAGCGGACGGGGCCTCACCTGGTCAGCGGTGACGTCAAATGGAACCCCCCACTTGGAGTGGTCCGCATGAACACCCCAGCTCCCTGCCAGCAGAGAACGATAGTGGGTGTTTCAAGAACAACCAAAGCACGGACGGCAAGTCGGTAAGCAAAGGAGACATGCTGGCTTTGAAGGACACACTGCATGTTTCCAGATTCATCCAGGCAAGAATCAAAACGGATCCGATAAAGTCCTTGAGCTTCGACTTTGATACTTTTCTGGATTGCAAGCGGTTATCAATAAATGACCCGTTGGGTTGCCCTGTCTGGAGTCAAGCCTCCCTGCCAGAGAAGCTCCGCGGGTCCCGCCTCACACATGGGGGCCGCCATCTCCGCTTCCGGCACAGCGACCTGCTTGACAGTGAACGAGGGGAAGCGTGTCCCGTTGCAGCCCGAGGGTTGCGGTGCCGCCTCCCCGTTCTGCCACGTTTCCCAGGCCATGGGCAGCGCGAAGAAAGGCTCCACCTGCGGAATAACAAACCGTTGAGCTGATGGGCCGAAACCACGCGGTTAGAGGCTCTCGGCCAAAACTTAAATTTCCATCACCTGTTTGAAAACCATTTCTGCTGAGGAAGAAGTGTTTGAGTGCTGCAATAATGATTTAGATCAGAGAAGGCTTTATCCCCTGAATTGTAATTTCGACATGTCTTGCTTGAATTTTCACAAGTCCCTTGACAACCGAAGTCGGGATTCGCCAGCCCATAAGGTAGACATGCAATGCTAACAGAACAACCTTCCAACGGTCTCGAGAGGCCTGTCAGAATCTGCTCATATTGGCCATCACGCTTGCGTAATGCTTCCCCGTTTGAAACAAGGATGTGTGTGATACCCGCTGGTTTTGAATTACTCGGCCCACAGATCCGAAAACTGCCACACAAGAGCAACCAGATTTTTGATCTCCACAGACGCTCCGATTCCCTGAACAAGTGAACAAACCCGGTAACCTCACCAGTTGCTCGTAGAGCCAAATTGGCCATTTATATACGGTCGGCCTTTTTGCAAACAGGGCAAAGCTTTGGCCTCCAAGAGAGCGCACGATCTGGCCTCGCACCCAGGGGGGGGCCTTGCTGGAGCGCGCCATTCGGTGGGGCCCAAACGAGATGAGGCGCTGCACGTGCGGGTACAGCGCCTGGGAGGCAGCCGCAAGCCGGGCCGCATAAACCCACACGCCTGACGTCCCAAGAACACGGCCAACAAGATCTAGCTGCTCTTGATCTGTGCGAAGAACGAGTCAGGTGCGTGTAAGAGTTGAAGGGCTTGAAGACTCTCCTCGAGAAGCAGTTGATGAAAGCCTCGCTCTTGCAATCCACTTTCAATGGTTGAAGGAAGAGGCACATACTTCAGAACCTTGCCCGACGAGGCGACTAAGGCGGAATTGATGGTACTCAAAGGAATTGATGAGTAGCGTTTGCAAACCAATTTTCAAGCGGAGGTACTGCCTTAAGCGATATGCAATGCCAGCTTCAAGCTACCTCCTGGAGCTGGTCTGAGCTTCCACCCCAAAGCTCTGGAACTGCTCCTCCCTGGCCCAACGAATGAATACTAACAGACTCTACAGTTTAAACAGAGCGCGCGCTGGCAGGCTTGCACTCACCCAAGGATACACATAGCATGCTCTGGCCGTACTTGAGCTGTGGGGGGTGGATTCCGCGGTAGGGGCCGTCGTGCGGGTGGCTTGGCGTCTTGGGGATGCTGTGGGTCAGCCAGAAGCCGCGCTGGGGGCCAAATCCCAGGACCCCCTTGGCGTGTGCGCCCCACCCCCAGCAGTGCGCAGGCTGCCCCGTTATATCCGGGTACTCGTCGGAATACATCACATAACTGGTATTCACCTAAAGAGAAAGGAGTGGTTTCGCCCACAGTCATCTGCCTCTTCAGTGGTTACACTGACTTGTGAGGGGGAAGCAAAGAGATGCAAAGGTTTTCTGAGGTTTTCTGAATCTTGATTTGCCCTCTGCTTGATGGAATTTTGCCAGTTCCACAGATTGCTGGTCCCTCAAGTTGCTCCAAGTGGAACATGGGAGATTTATTGAGGGATAGAATGGCACCCATGTTGATCCAGTCATCTATGCACGCGCTGAACAAGCGACAGTCTTTAAATGGCAGATTTTCACCTGGTTCGCATACAGCGGCAGCAGTGTCTTTGCCAGAGGCCCTTCTCCCTGCGCAGCCAGGCCCGCTGCGATGGCCCACTTGTAGCCCCCCGCAGGCCCTGTGGCGCAAGGTTGAGGTGGGGAGAAGGTGCTGTCAATGTACGCGTAGTGATCCCCGTTCGGAAGCTTGAGAACGACGAACCAGTCAACAGGAGCCCCATCAGCACTCCTGCAGGTGGGGGGACTCTCCAGCTGGTGCGCTTCTGCATGGTGCACCGAGGCTCAGGGGGCGTGCAAGGGCCTGGGACAACCTGCCCATGCTGGTCTTCTCACTGCTTCTCATGGATTCCCTGTCGGAGCAATTCACGGGGTATTCACCACCACGGAAGACCCCACCGCAGTCTCAGCAGATGTGCTGTCCAGCAACCCAGAGCTGCATGGAAATGTTGGGGCAGACACACGCACTTACCCTGGTCCTGGTAATCGCCTGCAGCTTGGTCTGCTGCCAGCCAGCTTGGGTTGCTCACTGATGGGTGAGGAGGGTTCGCACGCAGGGGGAGAGAAGAACCAAGGGGCACCTCCACGTCTGGCGGCAACAAAGTCGGAGAAAGGTCAGCGATTAAACTATGACCGCTCCGCCCAGGCTGTGGCTTGAAGACATCAGCTGGATGCAGCTGCATCGCAGCTCGAGTAAGACTTATGATGCTTGTGTTGGATATCCTAAAGAGCAGGTACAGGAACAGGATGGAAAGAAGGGATGCACTGCAAAAGCTGCACATCTTGAGCTTGTGACCCCCCTCTGGTGCCGCCATTGTAATCTGCTCACTGCTAGGCGTGCAGTACAGATCCTGCATTGGCTGCAATCAGCCAGTCGATCCATTGCAATTTGCAGCTGACAAGCTGAGCTGACGAAGGGGAAGGCATGGTAATAATAATGTAGTACCGTCACTGTTGACTGCGACATCATCAGTGTCAGTGTGAGCCTGTTTCTCAATCAAGTTAACCAACGGTTTCAGGGCTGTAAATGTATCTGTCACAAACATGAACAGGGCACTCGCTACAGCACTGGCAGCCGCACCCCGGTTTTCGACCGGACCTCATCAATCTTGTAGCAGGTGCACGAGCTTTGATCTGGGCAGCAGAGGCGACATGCAGTCATTCAAGCGAGGGGCGACGCTGTTGATTCTTGTATTGTGGCCCGTGGGGGCGTTCCTGCCCTCTCCTTGTTTCTGCGTTGTCGTCTCAGGGGCGTGCTGAGAGGCCACACCGTCACGATGGAAGGGGGCAGGACGGAGGAGCTTTCAACTTTGCAGCATTCTGATGAGGATATTTTCCAGGGAATGCAGCCCGCGCCAGGTGTGCCTCAAGAAAAGCTTGCAGCACCTCTTCCTTGTTTGTGAGCAGGTTCTTGTGAAGTCCACGACTTGTCCGTTTCTGAGCTTGAATACGACCGGATTTGGTCTCATGTCCTCACATTTTAATGTAGCAATGCAACTTCACTGTGATTCTGACTTAGTTGCCTCAAGGGTTGTGAGATTCAAGGTTTTGTAACACATGCTGTCTTGGTGGAGTTTCTGTCTTGATCTGAAGACCATTTGGCTCAGAGATGAACCCAGGAGGTCCTTACACTGATTCTAGGTGTTGCAGCCCTGTACTCTTTCATGGTAAGGGTTTCAAGGCCTTTCGAAAAGACCTGATTCTCTCAAGGACCAGCAAGGCAGGCTGTGCATTTGCTGCTCTGTATCCTTCTATTGCTTCTTGTAATCCATCACTGAAGCCTTCTGTTTCTTTCAATCATCTTGATTGTAAGCTGTGGCAGGCATATATCAAGAGTCTGATGTAAGCAGTGGCAGGCAAAGATCAAGAATCTGATGTTGAACTGCAGTGATTGAGAGTTGTTAGCTTGATCAGCTGCGGGAAGCTGGTGTGTCGAGTTTGAAACCCAATAAGCACCAAGCTTGAATTCCATGGCCCCAATGTTGCATCATGCTCACAAGGTATGAAAAGATACATTGAATCCAGTCTCGCTGAGGGACACTTTCTGTTATTGCACTTCAATGAGTTCTACATATTGGCACCAAAGGCATTTCCTCGTCATTACAGGGCCTTGCATCATTCTGCCTCACTTCTCATCCGACCGGCCTTTGACAGATCCAGTAAAAAGCTGAGGGAGGGGCTTGTCAGTTCTGTGGGTCACGGTATCAACCTTCGCCTACTAACCTTGAGATATCGTGCTACCAGCTACTTACAGAATACCTTTGAACGCTAACTCCCCAGTTCTTCTGCCAGACCTTGATTTCCTGGGGGGCCACTCCCACGACCAGAGCGTGGATGACTACATTGAGGAGCTGCTGAACGGGACGCTGGCCTGCACACATACGCACGTGTGCAACCCCCCTGGGCCCGACCTGGAGCACACCCACAGCTGCCAGCACACGCACACGCGCCTGCTCACCCCGCTCCTGCCGGCGGAGAGCGAGGCGGAGGACCAGAAGAGCAGCGAGAAGGGCAGCGAGGGGGCGAGCAGGAAGAGGAAACCCATTCCCCCGGCCAGTGAGTGATGCACCGGCAGGGCGGCAGTGAGTGCTAGGGGAGGCTAATAGTTCTGATGACCTGGAACTCCCCGTCCTTTGAGGTTCTCCTCAGACACACTGGAGTTTTCAACTACTTTTCCAGAGCCCCCTGATCAACCTTTTTTGAATCAGGGACATGCATCAGGGGCTGTCCAAGAGGTACCACTTTTGCAGAAGTTGGCATGGATGAACAAGGAGCCTGGCCTGAAACACCCCCAGGCTTTGATACAGTCGAACAATGGAGTACAGGAGTGCCCACTTCAAAATCGAATGTCGAATGCCAATGGAAGCGACCTCGAGCGTAGTAACCACCACACCTCTGATGAACCATGTAAAGTGCCCTCTTGCATGACCGAGCAACAACTTGAGATCCCAGTTCAGACTCCTCAACTAGAAAACGGCGATGCACAGAAGCTGCAGATGATGCCGAGGATCTACCAGACCTAGCCCCAACTCAAAGCTGAGCCCATGTGTTGTGCAGACAACCGTGAGGCGGTGCGCAAGTACCGCGAGCGCAAGAAGGCGCGCACCGAGTACCTGGAGGGCGAGGTGGCGCGCCTGCAGGCCATCAATGGGCAGCTTGTGAAGCGGCTGCAGGGGCAGACGGCCATGGCTGCCGAGCTGCGCCGCCTGCGTGGCCTCCTCTCCGACCTGCAGCGCACGCTCAATCGCGAGCTGGCGCCATCACCGGGGCTGGGGCCCCTCCCGCATCCAGGTGAGAGGAGCACCGCAGTCCCTTGGAGTGTATTCAGTTCTTTGAGGTGCAGTAGAGCCAGTTAGGGCGTTCGGAGGGCATCAAGTCCTGCTGGGGTAGTACTGGCGCCCACAGGCTGTCCCCAGCATTCGTGCTCCATTATTGAGCGACCTGTAGAATCGCATAGTCCCGTTACCTGTGTTCTGTTGAAGGTTGAGGGCGAGACGGTAGAAGGAGGGTTTGGTGTTCTTGACTGGAGCCAGGGGCTTGAGGCTGTAGGTAGGGTCGAAGTCGGGCCTGACAGCCGCCCTCCGCTCGGGGCCATAATAGGCATCGGCTGTTAGATCCTAAAGCCGCTCTCACGATATTTCGCCAATTGAAGGAAATTAGGATCTATATTCCAGTGAACCGGTTGAGTTGAATCCTCTGCTGAATCGAGGCATGATCCGGTAATCTCGCTATAAAAGTTATGTCAGACAATATTGAACGAGCAGGGTTTGAAAATGGTTTTTATCCAAGTGCGTGTAGATCTTTCCCTTGTTCTCACGTTTTCTTGGCGACGGTAGGGCCTGACGAGGCCAATCCGCCTCGTCCGGATCATCACCACATGTTTTTCTCCTCTTGGCAGGTGCCGCCCTGGCCCCTCCCGACTTCTTCACCACCTCCGTGGAGGTCCCCTGCCACCAGGACATCGGCTGCCTCCACCAGCCGTACCCCAGCAAGCGGCTGCACGCGCCTGGGGCCCGCCGCCCGGAGGACCCTCCCGGCCTCGTGATACAGACGGATATCAGTCATGTCCTTGGCCCAAACGGCAACCCACTAAGCCCGGCTGTCATCCGCGGACGGGCATGCAAGCCAGACGGGTGACGTGTATCTGAGAAGACACGGAAAGTGCCATCCAGGTCAACATGATTGTCATACGAAGCTTGCGCTTCGCTGCAGTCGGAATTGTAGAAAGCAATCGATCCCTAGAGCTGCAGTTGTCCCGTACATGTTTTTGCGGCAACTACAGCTCTTAGAGATAGGTACAGGTTGTAGGACGAAAGCTGACTGTAGATTTAGTCCCTGATGCGTATAGTACTGCAAGCTAAGCAATGTGAACACGTGGTCCCTTCGACCAGGTCGAGCGAGCAAACCTCTTGCTGTTGTAGTGTATATGATGGTTAAATTGACCATTTAGTAACCGCAACTCATTGGCAGACTTGATTGACAAAATCAATCGTTGGATTGTCAAAGGTGGATTGCACAACTTCCTTCTAATGCAGATTTTGTGGGGCTTGGTGTATATCGCATGGCCGCCATGACTCATGGATGCCAAAATTCCGCGTCTGGCGGCATGCCATGTGCGCGGGCGCGTGACCTTACACTTAGTGTCGGACAGAGCGCTTACTTTGTACATGACACAAAAATTATGGGCGGGACACCATGTGTATCACATGCAAGATGATAACTTGTATATGCAGAGCGCGAGCCTTTTGTTCATTGAAGCTGCATGTATGCAAGATACTAGCCTGCTCCGTTCAATAGCGGCCAGGGGCCGCCCCCTCCAATTATTGCGCACGATCAGCCTGCTGATATGGTGGCCGGCCCCTGCAAGCGTACTAAACAACTGCAGCAGTGCGCGAGGGGCTTTGCATGTAATACTAAAGTTACCTGAATATTTGGATATGCCTGGCCGATCCCCGCGGCCCCATCATTGCATGGCTCAACGTGCACCGGCTTGATCGAGCCTGAGGGCACGGTATATCATTGGCATGATGATCCTACAATAAGGCTTGAACCTTACATCACGCATGGTCGTTTTAAAGGTACAAATCTTTTAGTGATAGCCAATATAATAGTGTCTGGCTGGATATCATAGCATGTCTCAGTGTATCGCGCGTGGTGACCGCCTGTACTTAGTTTTGTAGCTCGCAGGAATGCCAATCACTTTTGAGTATATGATTGAGGGTTCTCGCATGGCCGGTGGGCGTCGGACCTTCTGGTCGACATTACCATCAGTACGTTGAACTAGATAAGTTAGCTATAAAGCATGGCATGCGAGCTCAGTGCCACAAAGTTGAGGCACAGTGTAGCTAATATATGCAAGCCAACTGCGACGGATGTTCCGCGGACGATTCACGAGAGCAGTGGATCACGAAGCATCCGTCTGCGGAACGTCGGTCAGGGCGGCCAGTGGTAGGTACGATCAATGCGTCCCCGCTCACACGAGGCGGCCGCGGGCTATTCATTGGCGGCTATGCACTGTCAACAAAGTGCTGGCAAGACCCTTTTTCAATCGACCAGATTGAGTGCTCTTATGCACTCATTTAAAAATACATGCCAAGGTCCAGCCAAACTGATGTAGCGGAGTCTGTTCTGTTCAAACCAATCCCGTGTACTTGCTCGAGGCTGAACGGTTATCTTCAAAAGTTGGGCTGACTCACAAGTCTTATGATCGATCAGTCCCCAGGATGGGTGTCCTGTGCCGAATCTTGAGTGCGGCTTAGGAACAGTCCAGCCGAAGCCCGAAAAGTATCGTTCCCAATACTAGTTCTCGCACTTAGAGCACTCTACTTGAGATTGCAATGCCTCCTTCCGCTGTCGCTACTGAAGATTAAGGGTGGCAGATACTTACAATTTGGGACGATCAAACCTATCCTTGAGCCACTTACATATTTAATGCACTTCGAACGAGCACTCGGTCGAAGTGAGTTGCGAACCTCTGCGTGCAAAAATAAGAAAGACAAGCAAATGGCAATCCGTATGGATACAGATGTCACAGCACGCACTAGCCATGGTCTTCCAGGCCGGCCTCGTCCTCGGCGACCAGCTCGCAGAGCGCGCGGACGTCCATCGCGTGCGGACACGACGCCACGATGCCACGCGCCTCCTGGAGCGGCGTCAGGATCTGCAGACGTGACACGTTGATGACTTCAGCCTGCCAGCAACGAGCTTTGGGAGGCGTGACAGACGGACTGCAAAGTCCAATGGGAACCACATGCAGTCACGGACAAGGTCCGAAATGCAAGCTGCTTCAAAGCTGTGTTGCCGGAGCGTTCGCAGCAGCCGGCAGCAGTGGCTGAGGGGCACTTGCCGCGCATCGGAAGTCCCGCTTGCACGCCAGCACGGCGCGCTTCTCGTGCTCCAGGTTCAGCGCGAGCCGCTTGGCCTCGTGGGAGGCGTACACGAGGCCCGGGTTCTCGAGCAGCGTCTTGGAGTACGTGGGCAGCGAGCTCTGCACCCGGAGGCAGGGACGATCGGTCAGGGCTGGCGGTTCGTCAAGCTCAAGATATACTGACGCACAGGGCAATCAGGGTCCCGTCCTGCGAACCGCGATAGTCGACCCGCCGAAAGCTAGGGGTCCCAAAACTCGCAGCGGAGCTCCGAGCATGCACTCAGAAGGCAGGAAGCAAATAAAGGGCATTTAGGGCCGCCTCCCTCGCGACCCTTCCAAGAGAGCTCTCAGTGACAAAATTCGATCGTCCACTCGCATCTCCAGTGCCACACGAACAAGCCCTGGAGGGCCAGCACGGGCGCCTTGCACGCGTGCCCGGCGGTGCGCGTACTTGCAGGGAGGCGAGGATATCGCGGCGCTCCTGCAGCAGCTCTTCGCAGCGCGCCACCAGCTGGCAGTGGATCGCTAGCACCGCCTGCTGCTGCTCGCCGCTCAGGCCCAGTGCGCGCTGCACACAATGAGGAGTGATGAGCCATAGGCGGTGGTGAGGATGAAATGGATCATAATGTGCGCCTAAGGACCCACAAAGAAACTCGCCCAAAGTCCAGAACCATCAGGGTGTTGGCCACGAGCGAGTCAAGCGGGTTCAAGGAGGCCTAGAATACATACTACTGCGCCGTAGCTACATAGCGCCTATACAATGAGGCTAGGAAGGCGTCATGCGACCTTGGAAGCCCCCACAGTGCTTGCCACATGTTGAGATGGCGCTTCTATGAGCACCATCGGAAGGTCAACGCTGTGCTTGAATCGGTCGAACAGGCATTTGCAAAAGAGCGTCCAACCCTGCCCTCGGGTAATCTTTCTTTTGAGGAAGGTGACGGACGTGCGCACATGTCCTCTCGAGTACACAGCTTCCGCCTCACCAGCACCTTCGCCCAATATTCCCGTGTAGGCACCTCAGTCGCTTCTTCCTTGATTTGCCCCCAGGCAGCGGTGGCCAGCGCAGCGAAGCGGGGGTCGTCCGGGACAAAGGGCAACGAGTGGCTCCGCTGCGAGGAACAAAAGGAAAGCCGTGACGAGAGCATCAGTGCGAGACGCTCCACAATGACCCAATTGTCACCAGTCAATGCGACTATATCGAGGATCTGCTGGTGGCGAGGTTGCAGAGTAAAAGGATGTCCTGAGTTACGATCATCAGGCCATTGACTTGCCCCTTTGGCATCAAACCAAGCGGACAAGGAACACTTGTCGGCGGGTCGTAGAAAGAGTTCTGAAAAGGACGTCTGCACTTCGTCTACTCTATGCCACACCTATCGTGCTTTCAAATCGTGCCCCCTACCTGCGCCAGAATAAGCTCCTCCAGCTGCCTGTACGCCAGGGACTCGGGGTCGTCCGCCCCGTCCTCCAGGAAGCCCCGCAGCTTGCCAGTGTACACCTGCAGGCATGGAACACCGCGTCGCAAGCGGCCACGAGCTGACCTCCGCAAACAACACCCTTGCCTACACGTCACCCAATGACAGATTCTGTCGAATGGCGCAACGGTTCAGGGGAAACCACCTTCGTCATCTCTATACAACTAGATCATCGAATTGAGAAGTCCTGTAATCTATCAGCAGGCTGATCCCCCATATCAAGAAGGCACGACTGTCCCACACACTTTTTTGATGGGCACATGCGAGAGATACATTAATGAGGCCTTACCTTCCAGAATCGCACAAAGTCGTCGACAGTGATGTCGCTAAAGTATCCTGTCGTAATTTTATGAGCCTCTTCCGGAAGGACGAGAGTATAGAAGTGGCGCACCGCCTCAAAGCCAGATTCATCTGATGCACCTTCCATTGCCTGCATTTTCCAATCTTCGAACTTGGTCATATTCAACGGCAGGCCAGTGAAATGGACGCTTTGTTGGGTCTCCCACCAATTGATTCAGAGTGGGCAAGCAAGCCGATCGCTCTACTGTAGTGCTCAGGGGCATGCGCAACTTTACTCCTCAGGTGACTAAAGCACACCCAATTGGTCTACCCATCACAATGCCGCGAGGAGGTGCTGATACGACTCCATAACATGCGTGCTCGCCCCCGTCCTCCTTGGCTGGTCAGCCTGCGGCTCACCTTGCCCTCTGCGTCCAGTGGGGGCGACAGCAGTTCCGAGGTGGACCTCCATACTTTCCTCAACATCTTGTTGCGGGTCTCTAAGTCTAGTTTCTCCTGCTCCAGTTGCTGCACCCGCAGGTTCAGTTCCTCCAGGCTGGAACTGATGCTCTGTATCACTTTCTGTAGCCACAACAAGGGAACTGCATGGCTGTTGCTCTTAAAGTCCTCAATTTGCCCAGGCAGACTCTACGGAATACTCGAAAGAAGCATCGCATTCTTTTGATAAAATCCTTGTTGGTGGCCGCTGATACAGTGTAAACATCGCCACAGGATTTGACGGTGGCCAGTGGTGGAAGGGTAAATGGCTTTGCAGATAGCGATGGAAGCCTCATCATAATAAAAGAGGTTTCAATGTAACATTGTCCAATGGGTTCCACCAATTGCTGCAACATGAGAGCTCTGAGGACTACCGCCATTCCAGATAGAAGCAACCGCACCTTCTGCTTGTTTCTGTACGTCTGCTGCGCCCTCCGGTTCTTTTCCCTCAGCTTCTGTTTCTTGACATCCGCCAGAGCCGCAGCCTTGTTGATCCGCCCCTTCATCTTGTCCGACTCCAGGCTACTGCTTGCTGTTCGTGTCCGAGAGCCGCCTGAATCCCCTGGAAGTTCGAGGGAGCTTGGCGTGGCGACGCCCTCCCCAAACATTGACGCCGACGATGTGGGCGACGAAGTTTTGAGATATGGGCAGGCAACTTCTGCGGGCAGTGTCAGTGACGCAGCATCAAAGTGCCCATCGGCAGCTGCTGCGAAGGTGTCCGCTGGGACAGGCAGGAATGCCGGGTGACCGTCAGGCTCCGGCTTGGAGGGCAGGAGCTGGTCCAGGGACGGGGCTTCTGTCTCAGCAAATGCAGCCAAGAATGTGGCCACTCCCTCCTGCCAGTCTGCGGGCAGCTCAATGTCAGCGTCGCTGTCCATTGCAACGAGAAGCCTGTCTCTTCAGAGAGCACCTGTAAGGACGACAGCGCCGGTCACATATCGCCTGCTCTTGAATTCAAGCCCCTGCGCCCAAAATTTGCAATGCAGACAATCAAATGTACAATGCTGCCCATTGTGTGCAAGGGGGCGCAAACTTCGAACTTCGAAGTGCATATCAATATTATCATGGGGGTGGGCTCGTGACCGTCCCGCCAACAGGACGTAGCACATGTGGTCGCAACCGTGCCGCTGCTGGGGACGTACGTGCCTATCGGGTACGTAGCCCCGGGATATCCAAGTTCATTTGAGGGCCGTCGATGAAGAAACCGACGGCATTAATCTGGCGTAGTTGCGTCACTGACCAATAAGTCCGGAAATTAAAACTCCGATGAAGACTGTCGGATGCAATGATTGAATGCAAGTCACTCACAAAACTCCTCGCGACAGTCGAATCGGATCGCGACGGTGGCCGCTCTAGTTGTGCACGACTCGGAAGCTCTGCGGGCCGCGGGGCCGCGTAGGTAGTACGGTACTACGTGCATGCCACGCGGCAGAGCTCTTCAGCAGGCTGCAGTGAGGCAAAACTATCAAAGCATTTTCCTTTTGTTAGTGTCTCCCCGCCAAATAGGTGTAAAGCACACGCAAACACCTGAAGTCATCAAAGTCGTGACTCTGACAGTGGTTACGGGCTGTGGTTAGGACAGTGTCAGTGACGCTGACAGTGACGCTGACAGTGACATTGACAGTGACCGGGGCTTCACGGTGACATTAGGGTTATGTTGCAAACCTGTGACGGTTCGTGGCAATCGACTAGCGTTTTGTTAGGGTTACGTCATTTTCCAGTGACATTAGGGTTCCTCACTGACTGTGACAACCGGGCAGAGTCCTTTTGGTTTAGTGTATGTAGCCACTTTCTCTGACCCGGTCCCCATTCGTACCGAGTCCGTACCGCATACTGTACGGTAAAATCTGACAACTCTGACAAAATTTTAATCGAAGCCTGAAGGACCAGATCTGGCATTTCATTCCACGCGGACACCTTGGGAGCCTATGATCCCGCGTGTGAAACGTTTTCACACTTTTTGAAGCCTGAGACACTCACAAAAGGAGAATGCTTCGTCGTACTTGCTGCAGTGAGTTCAACACCCTCAACAAATTGACATACCGTAGTGGCACGGGTAATTTCATACGAAAATTATTTTATTTTGTTTTATCAGTTCGCTAACCCGGGTTAAGACTAACTTTTAGCCCTTAAACCACCCCCTAACGGGGTGGTTTTGAGCTGAAATAATTTCCGGACTTTTTCGCACCGAGTCCGTCTGAATTATATTTGGTGCGAATTCCCCGTGCCACTACGGTAGCTCTAGCTGCTGGCATGCTCATGTCAATGATGATGATGCTGCTGTCTGCTGCAGTGATGCCCCAAATCGCAAATCCGCCTTAAAGTGGGCGTTCTGTTCCGCGGAACGCCGGACGCTCAATGAGTACCGGCAGCCGTCGGTGAGGATCCGTCAAAAATTTTACCGCCGATGGGAGCTCGTCCGAATATCGACGGTCCAATTGCAAGAGAGAGTGACTGAAGTTTGATGCTCGGGTCTCGAAACTGATGACGTATGACCGATTCCAAATCTGCCGACTTTCCGCAGCGCGATCCACGGTGAGTAACATCCGTAAACATTTGGACTCGGAAGTGCCTTCTTTTTGGACTCCAAGTTTTGCTGAGATTCGAACCCGCGACCTGAGGCATTTGGCACGCCGCACTACCACTACGCTACGCTGATTTTCCCCGAGCAAAATTTGTCGGTAATATTACGGCGGGAGGGGCACGCCCACTTTAAGGTATATGATCAGGTAGTTTTCCTCAGGGACCTTCAGATGGGGTTCACCATCTGATCAATGGCACAAAATTTACGGCCCAGATTGCGCGCGCGTGCCGAAAGGCATATCAACGGCGTCGATAGCAACCGGCACGTCTCACTGCGGGAGAGAACCGTCAATGTGCCGGTACTGTGGACCATGTACCGCAGAGGAATTCTGGACCGGGACCCCCTGCTGGATGTGTAGCGCGGAAGTGAATCGGTCCGGGTGCCGAGAGTGTCGATTTAGGGCCCGGGGCGGTCGAGGGGGTTAGCAGTCTGACCCATCTCACGCAGAAAACCGCCGGACCGCCGGCCGAATATGTACTATCGAGTGAACCGTTCTGGAAGCTTGCCAACACAGCGCCCGACCACGTAAGCAGGCTGCTGGCCGTCCGAAAAGGTCTGCCACCCGACCTTTTAAGCAGGCTGTCGGGCGTCCGAGCTGCGGCCCGGAAATCAGGGTATAAAGGGTCAGATATTCTCTCATTTATTTCATTCCCAATCGGACCTCTTCCGCATACGAGTCTTTTCCAACCATCTCGCACTCTCAGAACCACCGCCGCTAACCAGCAAGCAGTCCGACCACCCATCTGGCATCTCCGAGAAGACATGCAACCAACCGGGTCAGGGTTCAGTGTGCTATAAGCTATAAGCTATAAGTACACTGTACACTGTACACTGTACACTGTTTGTACACTTATAGCTTGCACCCGGCGAGTCAAAGGGAGGTCAGTTGTGGCAACATTATCATAGATCTACGGATTTTCGAAACCATTCCCGCTAACTCACTAGCTACCAAGTGCCCGCTTTGCAACCAAACAGTCTTGACAAAGGACTATCAACTCACATTTCGAAAGAGTCACACACTGAAGGAGGCTTTGCAATCAGCTCTCCCGATTCAGTCACCAAGGGTCTGAGAAAGCGTCAGCCTCTCTGCCTTGAGTGCGTAAAGCGGCATTTTGGTCCTGTCAGTCAATGTGCTGACAAGCTCACAATCAGCGTAGCAAGGCCCAACCGGACCTCGGTGGGTTCAGCCGAGGTCTGGTTCCAGCGCAAGACACCAGAAGCCTGGGCATGGAGGCAACTGAAAGAGTTGCGGGGTGAAGAAATTCGCAACTTGCAAGTGAAGGCAGAGGAGGAACGGCCGGGCGGGCGCCGCAAGACAACTGCAGCGCAAGCAGCAGTGAACAGGGGGCGAAAAGTAGGAGAAATAGCAAGGTCCAGTGCACAAGTGGAGGTAAGCACGGGAATGGATCTTTGAACCCTAGACATGCGTCTGCTTAGTGCTATTTTATGATGCTTTTCTGCAGCCTGGATATTATATTGTGTGTTTGAACCAGGTGTGCATAACAAGAGTAACCACACAGCAATTGAAGAATGCTGATGGATCATACTGTAGCTACATGAGCATTGTCGAGTGTTTGTCTCCCACCATTTGTGACATCATGTCTAAGTACGTTTCTTGTATGGATGCAGGGGCAACCTCACACAGGGAATGGCGAAGCGTCCGACGTAGAGGATTGCCGAACCATCGTCGACCAAGCTATGATGTATCTTGATGGCCTCGGATCAGAAGAGTGCACTCTGTACAACGTCGGCGAGCATGGATCCGCAAGTACGGTCTACCTGGCTAGTACTTGGAATCACAATTCCGCTAAGCCCAAACCTCTCGGGCGCCCTAGCAAAGTGCGCGCGTTGCTTGAGATGGTGCATCGGGACACCATGGGAAACTTGAGCTGCACCTGCGACCGGGGCCGGTTGTACTCTCAGGCGCCGTGCGTGCACAAGCTTGCGCTACAGGCGTTGGAGCTGCCAGGGCTAGCCAGCGCCAAATCGCTGCAAAAGGGGTCAAGAGTGGTGGAGATAGCATGCGACAGGACCGGGGAGCGGGTTTTTGGGGTGTACTGGAACGCTGGTTCGCCCTCACCTCAGCGGACCATGGTCCACTATGGAGAGGGGCCGCAGATGGGCTGGTATTGTGAGGGGAGGAAGAGCGGATGCAGCAAGACGGCTGACTGTTCGCACATCCAAAGGGTGAAGCGAGCTTTGAGCGAATCGAGCGGTGTGGAAAAGCTCAGCAGGAGTTCGTTTTCAGAGGAGCAGCTCGAGCTCGCAAAAACGTCTTTGAAGGACGGTCTAGGGGATAGCCGGGGCGGTGACTGCGTGGCGCAGAGCGGGCAGTGTGCGCCAGACGCCGACGTGGACGGGTACCTTGCGGAGCTGGTCGTTGGCAGTCATGAGAGGGCCGCATGCGAAGGGCCAAGTTGCTTCTGCAAGCAGCATCCGAGGGTGTTCGGCGGCGCTGATGTGGACGAGGAACCCTGTGCAGCGAGGTGCTGCGCGTCTGCTCAAACGAACGGAAAGCGAGCTCGATCGGAGCAAGGAGAAAGCTCCAGTGGCGTTGGGGAAGCGAGCGCGAGATCGGGCAAACGGAGAACCAAATCATTTTGGACGGCAAAAGGCACAGAGATGGGGGGGTCGAACGCTGCAACGGGCAGCGTGGAGGAGGCTGATTTAGAAACAGCCGAGGAGAGGGGGCGGGGAACGGAGAGCGCCCCCCAGGTCGATGATCGGAACGCGTTCTCGATTCCGGTGTGTAGCCTCTGCGTGTGCCCCTCGAACGTGTGCACGCATGGTGCCTCACGCGGTGCTGCGACGGTGTTGCCCATGGAAGCTGAGGGCGTGCAGCTGGAAGTGCCCAAGCTCGTTCGGCCGACGGACTCCTGGCAGGTCCACGACCCCGAGGTGTCGCTGCTGCGAAGGCCCGTTCGAGTCAGCGAGCTCACGGCCCGGGATTTCGAGGAGCTGAGCACTGCGGAGAGTCTCTCCGCCCCGTGCCCTCGAGCACCACCTCCTTGCCGCACCAGATGGTTGGGATTGTGGCAGAGTGCCCACGTATACGACTTGTATTGGTCGCAAGAGGTAAAGATCGGACCATCGCGCATTGCTCCATTGCCTGCGTCTTTCTTGCTCGAAGAGCTGATGCATGATTTGGTAGAATCGACACGAAGAATACTCCATTAATGAGTGCAGACGGTTCGTATAAATAGCCGCGCAATGTTTCAGGCTAAGCTTCGAAGCTTCAACCTGATTCTACTAGCCTGAAGCCTGGATTGAATCAAAGCTCTCAGTCAGCGATGGGCACCATTATGACTCTACTCTTGTGCAGGTCAAGCTCCGGATCTATTGCTGCGCGTGCCCCGAGAAGCATACTGTTCATTTCAATGGAGAGGCGTTCGGACTGTACGCATGGACGCGAGGGTTGATCGTCACACAAGCCGCGTGTCAAATGCTGCTACG